ACCGAAGTTATTTTAAATTTTGAGGAGGAGAAACATCCAGTAAATATTCTTAGTGAACATGAGTTTAGATTAAGTCCAGTCATGATTACAGCAACATCTGAAGAACCAGAAAAACAGGATATTTGTTTAATTGAATCAGAGAACCGTGAAAAAACAATTGAAGTTGCGTCAGAAGTTATTTGTGAAAAAGAAAATGTTATTAATGTTACTCAAAATGACAGCCGTACAGAACAGTTTATCAAAATTGAACAACCCGTAGAACATACTACCGAAACTATAATTAAACATGAAAAGTTGCAACGTTTTTCAACAGAAATTATTCACCCATTAAACAATCCAGCTACAGAAATTACTATGAACATCAAAGATATAAATGACACAACTGACCACCCCGTTTCATCATTTGAAATTTTGAAAGAATCAAAAAAAGATAGAGAAATCGTTATTGAATTTGAAGAAAAATCATCAAAAGTAGTTACTAGTGAGCATGAAATAAGACTTAGCCCTGAGCCAATTGTAGCAACATTAGAACAGTCAGAAAATGTTGATGTCGTTTTAGAAAAATTTGAAAACGTTGAGAATACGACTGGAGAAATTAGAGATTGTGTAATGTTTGAAAAGCCTGTTCATCACACAATAGAAACAATCATTGAACCTCAAAAATTATTTGAGAGAAAAACTTTTTCGACTGAATTAGTTCATCCTTTAAATGTTACAAACGCAGAAATTTTAATGCAAATGGTTGAGCCAGAAGAGACGATTGATTATTTTGAAACATTAACTGAAGTAAGAAAAGAGAGTGAGCTTATATTGAATTTTAAAAAAGAAAGACCCATTGTAAATGTTACAAGTGAACAAGAAATAAGAATCAGTCCTATAACAGTAGTTGTCTTATCAGAAGAAACTGAAAAAGTTTCGATTGATCTTGGTAAAGCACCAGAATTTAAAGAAAACGAGCAGTTGAAAGTAGAAAAAAATATGGCTAATGTGGAAACAGAAAGTTTAGTTCATGATACAGTTGAAAAAATAGTTGAGCACACAATTGAAACTATAATTGAACCTCAAAAATTAAAAGAATTGAAATCTTATTCAACGGAATTAGTTCATCCGCTTTTAGAGGCGCCTACTGAAATTACTATGCAAATGGCTCAATATGAAACTGATAACGATAATTTAACGGAAACATTTGAAACTTTGACAACAGTTAAAAAAGAAAGCGAAATTATTTTAGAGTTTGAACAAGAAAAGCACATTGCTAATATTATAAGCGAGTACGAAATAAGGTCCAGTCCAGTTACAATTTCAGCAGTATATGAGCAAGCTGAAATATTTGAAATTTTGTTAAATAAACCAGTTAAACCCGAAAAAACAATCAAAATCAACATATCCGAGAAAGGTACTGAAGTTATTGCTTTGGAAACTGTAAAGGAACAAAAAATTGTTGTTTGTCATTCTGAAGTGCCAGAAGTAGGTGATATCGCTGGTGTATTATCTTTGTCAGAAATAGATAGTAAGTTTGATAACTTTGTTGAGCATAGCACTGAAACTATAATTAAACCACAATCTTTGGTTGACAATAAGTACTTTTCAACCGAAATTACACAGCTATTAACAGAACCGCAAACTGAAATATCAATGCAAATTACTCAAGCTAAAGAAGAATGTCCAACGTTTGAAACTTTGACAGAAGTTAAGAAAGACAAAGAAATTGTTTTAGAATTTGAAAAAGAGACACTTATTAAAACAGTTACTAGTGAAAGTGAAATAAGGTTTAGTCCTGAAAAGATAAATTTTATTACAGAACAAAACAAAATAATTGAGGAATCCTTTACGTATAAACAAGATGAACCAATATTAAAAGTTTTAAGTGCTAACGAATTAGAATTTATAAAGTTGGAACCTGTTAGTAAAGAAGTAAGTTCCGAGGTAGAAAAAATAATCATCGATGACGTTGAGTTGACTTTTAAGCCAGATACATCTATTGAACTTACCGAAGTAGTTGAAAAAGAATCGAAGTTAGAAAATCTGTTCATGGGAAGTGAAAGTGAAAGCGAAGAAGATTTTGAAATAGAAAACAAAGAAGAAATACTAGAGGAAGTGGTTTTTGATTTTAAAACTGGTAAAATTTTAGGAATTGAATCTGAAACAACTCAGAAAACTGTACTTGAATGTAACGTAACACAGCCTAAGCAAGAAATATTTGTAGATGTTGTTGACGAACAAATTGATATTTTAGAAACTTCAGAAATTTATTACGACTTAAAAGCCGATGTGGCTTTAGGGCACCAAATTGAATCAAAAGAAAAGTTGATGGTTTCTGAACAAGAGCATGAGGTTCAAATATCAGAAGAGTTTGTTAACGAAGAGACGATTTCTCTTCAAAACGTTGAAACGGTAGCTACTTCAACCCCAACAGCAGTTACTCACATTGTAGAATTAGAAAAATTTATTGATCAAATAGACCAAAAGCTATTTGAAATTGACTTAGTTGAGCAGAAACATTTAGAAGAAGTTATTGAATCAATATTTGAAGTTATGCCCAGTGTATTAAATGAAACTGAAATAGCACTAGAACTAATAAGCCAAACTAATGAAATAACAGAAACAGATTTTGAAATAGTCGAACATTTTGAACAGCAATTGAAAGATCATTCGAACGTTTTAATCGGTGATCGAGAAATGTATAACGTTCAGATGGAAATAACTGTACAAAAAGCAGAGGAAATGAAATTTGAAACTGAAACTATCATTGATTCAAATATAATTTTATTTGAAACAGGAAATTACATTATGAAATACACAGAAAAATCACCTCTTCAGTTGATTGAAACAATTTATGACCAGGTTTCAGAATATTTCATTTTCACACAGGAAATTTTCTTGACTGTTCAATCTTTTGAAACTGAATGCAAAAGCAAAGTTTGTACATCTTCAGTGTTAGAGTTAGACATAAACGAACCATGCGAGGTTATAACTACGCTTGATGTTAATCAGGCTGTAGCTAGCAAAGAATTTAATATTGAAATAGCAAGTCAAAAACTGACAAACATTGAGCATTATATAACAAACATTGAGTTTAAAGGTCGCCAAGATGTATATGAAGAGGTGCAGATTTTTGTTGATGAAACAAAACCTTTTACAAATGTTTCTACCGAAATTACTAGCAAAGTTGATAGCTCAAATAAAAAAATAGTTCAGACTATTAATTTACTTGAAGAAAATGTTAGTCCGGACATTATTAGCGCCCTCTCAATCGAGCCTCGTCAAAGCGTTAAGGAAGAAGTTATTGATCTGGAACTGATAATTACTTCACCTGTCAGGGAGGGAGATTTATCCATGGTGGAATTTGTTCAACAAGAAACTGTAAAATCTATATTTGACGAAAATGTAGAAGATATTGATAGCGAAAATGAAGGTATAGCAATGATTGATTATGATAAAGAGCCTGAAAGTGTAACGTTTGCGTTTATGACATCTGAAAGAGATATCAAAGAGACAGCTCATGAATCAATTGAGTTGGTGGAATCTTATATAACGGTCACACCCACTATGGAGGAAGTAATAAAACCAAAAGATATTAAACCAGAAGTTGATCAAACGACGGAAGCTTTTACTGCTCTCCAAACCGCTAGCCAAGTAGAAGAAAAAATTGCTGAAGTAAGTGAAGAATTAAAAGATCAAATAAAAGATGATCAGATAGTAATAGTAGAATTAGATTTGAGCAACTCTTTAAGAAATCAAAGACGCACCAGCTTGGCGTCGACTCAGGTTGCTCATTTGAACGAAGAAAAAATAGAAAAACTTTCTACTGAAACTCCACCGTTACTGAAAACTATTGGCCAAGAAGTGGAATGTTTGAAAGTTGAACAACATTCAACAATAGAAAAGGAAGAAACTTTTGTTAACGTCTTAAAAGAAGTTTTGTCAGTTAATTCAATTGAAGATCAGCTTAGCGATACCACAATATTAGATGTTAAGAGCGTTGATATAAACTATGAAATGTCTCAACCAGTTGTAATTCCAAAAGAAAAAACATTAGTAAAGATGGCAGAAGATTACCAATCTTTAGAAGAAGAAGAAGAAATATTTTTTGATGCGGCCGAGCCAATCTTATTTGGTTTGCCTATAGAGTCAGAGCTGAAGTCACCGGCTAATGAAGTTGAGCGACCTTCATTGTTAGTAGATGTACAAACTAAAGATGCACCAGTTGAAATTATTGAATTTACACCTGTTCAGTCCATTGAAAAGTCTAACGAACAGGAAATAAAATCATCTTTAATACAAGCTAAAAAAGAGCATCGTCGTTTATCGCTTGCAGCCACACAAGAAGCAATACTAAAAACATATGATACCGGAAAACTTGAAGCGGATAAATCTGTTGTTGATTTTACAGAGGAATCTTTTGTTGACGGAGCTAAACTAAGTTTAGCAGAAAAATCAAAATCTGAATTATCTCTTGTTTCTATTCAACAGCAAGTTTTAGATATGCAGAGAGTTATGGGAATGGGCGAGTACAGAGAAGAGTGGGTGTCGCCAGCTACCATCCAGTATCAAGTCGGTCCACCAGTTAAAGACGAGAAACAACTTACATTGGTGAAAACACTACAAGATTCTTCTCGACAAATTGCCATGGCCGAAGAGTATGTGAGTACAGTGAAAGAAGTGTATATGATACCGTCACAAGTTCAAACAGAGTACCAATCGGTAGCTGTTGAAAAGTATAGACTGGAAACTGGAGATAAGAATTTGTTTGAACAAGATCAGACATCAGATAACTCTGAACAAAAGCAACAAATCAGTACAGATGGACAAGTACTAGTGCAAAAGTTTAGCGTCTACCCAACAGAGACTGAGAGTAACATGTGTTGTGCTGACGTAGGTTATCATTTGACAAAAGTAGTTCCTGGCTGTGGTCTTGAAAGAGAAAAAGTTGAAAATGTGGGACAATATATTGAAAGTTTAGAAAAACATTTAGAAAATGTTGGTCGACACGCTGTTGAATCAAAACACATAGACCATCATTTTAAAACATCGCAAGAAAAATTATTTAAATCGAGTCAGTTATTCGAAACTAGCGAAAATACAATAACCCAAAAACATCAAAAAACAACTCAGCAAACTCTTTTTGAAAAAAAAGATATGCAAACGTCTTCGCAACAACTTGATCAACAAATTGACCACCACTGCCATATTATTGACGGCCACAGAGCAGTAGAGCAGGTGCACCAAGACGATTTGCAACTTGCGCAAGAGCACAGTGTTGTTGTACAGCAACATGACGGTCCAATCATTGTTGTATCCCAAGCAGTTCAGCAACAAATGTTGCAACAACAACTGCAGCAGCAGCAGCAACAAACTGTTGAAGAGCAGTTTTCTAAATTAGTGCAATCCACAAATACAGCCATTACCACTACTGAGCAAAAACAAGAAACGTTTACTCAACAGAATTTAAGTTTCGAACAACTTGATAGTGGTCTCAAACAGACTTCTATTATACACGGGGATGAAATGTCTCGCCATATAGCCCTTGATGACTATCAATTTTCAGCCTCCTCGTCTTCCGCTATTTCGACGACTTCGTCTTCATCGTCAACCATTGGCGATGGCGATGAAGATAGGGAATGTGCTCAAGCCCTTGAACTTATTCATAGTGATGACCTCGAACTTTTAGAGGTTGTTAAAACTCATGCTACTCGTTACCAAGACGAAGATTTTCAAGTTGCAGTGGGAACAAGCTTCACTTCGGCAACTGCCCTTATGGCACCGATTTTCGAATTACCATTGGTTGACAGAACAGTGAAGGTTGGCGATGATGTCACATTTGTTTGTCGAGTGGTAGGTACGCCGAGACCAAAGATCACCTGGCTGGTTGACGGTGTTGAAATTGAACTCTCCCGCCGACGAGAGTCCTATGAAATCACATACGAGGAAAACCGATGTACTTTGGTTTTAACAAAAGTGGAATCACGTGACGAAGGTGAATATGCCGTCAAAGCCGTCAATGAAGCTGGGAGTTGCCTCACCACAGCTTGCCTCACTGTCATTTCGCGTATGTCAAAGCGCGAGTTTGAATAGATTTTGTACTTGTTTGTTTTAGTATTTTGTATGTGATAGTTGTTTTCGTTGTCAATCATTATTTTATACGATATTTAATTAATTTTCTGTGTCGAGTGCATTTTGTTTTTTTAGATTAATTCATCTAGTGAAAATTTGATGAACGAGTGGTAAATGAAGATGAATGAACTTGTGAAGTGGCATGATCATCGTGTGATTGAGCGCGAAACAGCTTTAGACGGACGAACAAAATTTTAATTGTTTTCGTTTAATAATTTACGCGCAGACATATCAACAACAACCGCTACCTCACAAGGTGACTTAGTTACTGTTGAGACTACGACAACAGGTAGGAAGGAGACAGTGAGCGAAGGGAGACTCCAGGAATGGATATCATCCGAAGAAGGCGGAGAAGTGAAGGAGCATTTCACTGCTTTCGAAGGTTTCGCTGAGATCATCATTATGTTTGCTGTTATTTTATTCATGTTGATCGATAGTTCCTGTATTCCCGATGTGAATGTTTCACAATTTGCGGTCGAGTTTTAAAATTTATGCTATTTTTAAATTATCAAATGTGAATGCAATATCACTTTTGACAGTAATTGAAGAACCTAAAAAAGAATGCCTGGCTCCGTTCTTCGTCAATAAATTGCAAGCAAACGAGGTGCTTGTCGGGTCGAAAGTTCTGCTCGAATGCGAAGTGTTTGGATTACCGGTGCCTGAAATTACTTGGTATAAGGTGAGTGTGACCGTGTCGCTTAAACATTAAAATTGGGATAGTTAATTTATTAGTGCCGTAATGACGCAATGGTTGAATCGCATGGTCCTGCTGTTAAAGCGACTGGTTTCAAATACAAAGAGATCCTCACCCATCATATGCAATGTGTGTGATGCGACGTCTTAACGCGTACTCGCATACGCTGTGTATGTTTGTTGTTGATATTTCTGAAGCCAGTGCACAAGAGAAAACGACCTTTAACTTTTTTTGAAATAATTCTTTTGTTAGTATTAATCACAGTTACGTTAATAAAATAAAAACTTAAATTTACAGCAATTCAAAAATGATTTTTTTAAACCACAGAACGGAGTACCTCTAACTTCGACGGAGCACGTGACACAATCAAAATGCGGCGACAACAAGTGTTTGCTGACCTTTGACTGCGTCACTCCAGATGACCAGGGCGAGTACATGTGCAAGGCGCACAACCAGCATGGCTTGGCGACCACATGGGCCGAATTGATAGTTGAAAGTAAGATGTCAGATTTGTTGCTGTCATCATCTTCGTCATCATCATCGGTGTTGTCTTCTTCATCGACGACTAAAATGATCAAACCGTCTCAAGACGTGGTAGCGTCAACAAGATCGTCGTTGTTGCTTAAAACTTCGCCGGCTTCAAAACTGGTTTTTGTGCCGTCGTCACCTCCGTCGTCATCTGCATCGTCATCAAATGTCATGGCAAATGAAAGCGCAGCCACCATTTCATTTTTAAAAGGACTTGCCCCGTCCATCTCAATAGGAAAAAAATAAATAGCTAATTTTAAAAAAAATTTGTTTCAGTTTCAATATTTTAGTAGTTTTTCTAAGCAATTGCTTTTTTGAAAAAAATCAGTGTAATGTTTTTTCCTTGGCTTTTAATTTTTTAATTTTATTGAAAACGCGTTTTTCGGTAGATTGCATATTTTCTGTCAAGATGAATTGTTACGATAATAATAGACTGGAATTAGTGATTGTGAAATGGCTAGAGATAGTTGGTGTCAAATTAGATATTGTTGATGTCATTGTAGTATTAATCTACCTACTGTGATGCCTATTTTGATGTTATTGCTTAACTTTAAACTGTAAGGTACTTAGTTGCTAATGTTTTGAAATATTATCAATCGGAACGTCATTTCAATGACACGTATTTTAATGAATTTTTAATAATTTTAGTTTAGCCTACTTGCTATGTTATTCAATCATTCATTTGTAATTTGCTCACGACTGGCTACAAAGTTACAATCAGTTTAATAATAACAATAATGTTTGGACTTTTGGGGCAACAATTTCACCTGGATTTGCTTATTTTTTTTAGATTTGAAAGGATTTTTTTCCATAAATTTTTCATATCCTATACTTTTTCAATTATTAAATTTTTATTAATTAATCAACGTTAGATTTTAAATATTTTCGCTAAAGTTTTAATAAAATTGTTTTATCAAATTATCAATATCTTATCTTATCTTTCATTAAATTAATTCTGAAATAAAAATATCCAAAATCAACAAGCCGAAATTACATTCCAAAAAAATGTATGCATAAATTACAATATCTTCATATTTTAAAATTTTATTACACAGTTTATTATTATCTAAATGATTGTAATGTTTTTTTTTCGTTAACAATCCCGACTTATTGTTTAAAAATTTAAACTTCCATAACAAATCTTTATTGATCTTGTTGCCTCATATGGTTTTGAATGTTTTTATTTTGACATGACAAATTTTACTGTTAACACGTTTTTTCGTTAATATTTACATGTATGTGTGTTGTTTTTTCATAACTAATTTTATTATGCACCAAATTTATATACGCCTCTTTGTTTGGTGATCTTTTTAATTTAATTTTAAATTTTTTAGCGTGTGCGAGTGTGTGTTACTCCCACTAATACATGTCGGTGTGATTTTTCTGTGATTGTTTAACGCGTGATTTTATTTAATTCACTCATTTAATTCACTCATTAATTCAAATATTTAATGCACACTCATTTAATTCACTCACATTTCATTCACTCACTGTTTATAGTTGTTTTCATTATGCTCCAAAACGTGTTCACCATTAATCGCTTTGTCATCATCATTGTTATAACCATATTTTTACCATCACCATCATCATCCTCAACAACAACAACATCACCATCATCAACATCACCATCATCATCACAATTCAAGCATGACTCCCAAACTTTGTTGGGCTCAGTGTGATTTCTACCATTTTTTAACTATTATATCAGCATAATTTAATTCTATAATTTTTACCTAATTTTGAATACCTCCAACTTACATAATTACTACATGCATGTTATTTCGGTTTACTTTATCAAGGAAAAAACATTACACACTTTTTTAGGAACAAAATATTGACTAAATTACCTATATATTTATAAATCAATGTAAGTGAAGCTATATATATGTTCCTGTGTGTTTGGTGTGTGTGTTTTGTGTGTGTAGGTATGTGTGTGTGTTTAGTACCTGTTAGGTATATCTATTACTATACAGTATTATTTTGTTCTGCTAAGAGGATTCATAGTGCACTTTTTTTTACAAGTACAAAGCATTTTATAACGCATTGTATGCGTACGATACCGAATCCCATGCGTGGTGCATAGTAGAATGAGATGACATTGAAGTAACCTTGCTTATAAGGCAATCACCAGATTAGGCAAAAAAAATTGTTAAATGACACGAATCAACATTATCGGAGCTCAACCAATGGCAGCGAATTAAGAAACTCTTAGAAATGGCGTCAAAATTAAAAAAAAAATTTTGAGGTTTCTTGACTTGAAACACAATTCTCATGCACAAAATGAACATACCTTCATCAACAAAATAAAGATGAACTTCCTCAAATGATTTGTACTTAAATGTTACTATGCCATGTTCATCAAGGCGTACCTACAATACAAACACCCATACAGGAAAATTCAACTTTTCTTTGTTTGAAGTAAACTTAAAGAGTTTTGATTTAACAAGTGCTGTGATATGTTGGCGAGGATGATTTTTTAAATAGAGCTCTTAAAAAAGGTTGATTAAGAATGGACGACGCGAATTTTCTGCAACTCTCTATTTTTGCATATTACTAGGTGTGGGTGGCGTGATTGTATAATGGTTAAGGCGACTGGCACTAATGTCACAGTGACTTGGTTTGAACGCAAAGAGGTCCCAGTCCATCACATGCGATGAATGAGTTGAGTGGATGGATCCACGTATAATTCACGTGCGGCGCGTGTGTCAGTGCTGCTGATACCCGTGAGAATTAATTATGAGAAAAACATTAATAATAGTAATAATGTTAGTGTTGTTAATATTTATAATTTATGCAGCACTGTTTAAACGTTCGCCTGTCGTGTCAAAAATGGTTCGCTACTGAGTGAATAAATATTCTTCTCAAACTTAATTACTCTTATTAAATTGGAAATTATCTCATTTAGCCAGTATCACGCATTGTTGTTAGACGATTTAAGCATTTCTCTGACTGTTTAAGCCTGTAGTCCAACGTCAATTTTTCAAGCATATCGTAAATTCAAAGTTGTTTCAATCAATTACATTTTTTTGTAAGGAGGCAGTTTGCGTTCATTCGCAAATTTAAACCAACACAAGCGATAGCGCCTAGTGAGCACTTGGAATAAAATCTCATGCTTTACGTCTACAGATTTATGATTTTTTCTGTACAATATTTAAAAAATTATAAAATATTTTATAAACTCAATAATTTTTTTCATTTAAATTTCAACATTTTCACCATAATCGTACTAGTCTAACATTTCAAAATAATGTTTCTCGCCTAAACCTTATTAATCTGACAAATCCTTTCAGTTTAAATTTAAGAACGGTGTTTTTTGTTATTTTTATTTGAAAAAAATTTTCAATTTCAGAAGATAAAGTTCGTTTCGAAAAACAATTGACACTGAAAACTCCGGAAAACCTCACAGTTGATACTGGCTCATCTTCTGCAAATCTCACTTACATTCAATATTACGGTTAAAATTTATTAAGATTTATGTAAATTTCAATTTGTTAAAAAAAATTTTAAATTATATTTTTAAACATTTTATAAGTTAATACACAAAAAATTAAACGGTTGTATTTGTAACTTAGAATTACCACAAGAAGAAACTGGAATAGAAAACGCTTACTTACCTCAGACTTTAGCACCTGGTCAAGTCTCCATTTGTGAAGCTTCTTCAAAAATTACCCCACAGAATTTATTCAGAGTGCAGCCATCCGGCTTAGAAGAGCATAATGAATTTATTCAAAACCACATTTGTCCAAGAGACGAAAAAATTGAAACAATTAATTATGAAAAAATGTTTTTTCCGACCAACAAAACGATCAGCGAGGAAGCGGTAATTTCTCAAATTTCATTGCAACAAGTGCAATTTGATGACGACACAATAAAAGTGGAAAAAGTTTTTAACTTATTGCCAAATAAAGAGCAAGCTTTGAAAACGGAACAATCTGATCATTCTAAAGCTAGTATTTTATACAAAAGTCCACAAAGATCAAATATTCAACAATTGGATGACATGTTAAATCAATCTGAAGTTGAAATTTTACATCATGATCAACCTTTCTCAGAAAATGTTTCTTTCAACGTAACGACTTCTGAATTTGTTATTTTGCCGTCAAATAAAGTAGCACTGACGTATGAAAATGAAGAAATAGCACCGAAAACAGAATTGAGCGAAAAAATTATTGAAGCTCCGAGTAAAGAGTTGACGTTCACAGAAAATATATTTTTTGATGTAACTTCGGAAGACAATAATAAGGAAGAAAATTTTAAAAATGAAATAACGTTGGACATTAGCAGTCAGGAAAAACTTAAACCAGTAGAATTTGCGATCGAAATCGAAAATTTTGATAGCGAAAAACACGCACTTGAGGACAGAGCAGCAACAAAAATTCAGGCGGCGTTCAGAGGAATGCATGCCCGGGAGTATGTTAAAACTTTGAAGCACGAACACGAACAGCATGATCATATCGAACCACTAGATCATCATTTTTTGAATGAAATTACCGTTAGCGACAGCGTTTCAGAAAAAAATGAAACCTTTACAATAATCATTAGCGATAAAGAATCAAAAGAAAATGTTGTGAGTGAAATGATAATCGGAGAAATTGAAGACGACAAAAAGTTAAAAGATATCGTTGAACAAAATAAAACGGAACCAGAAATTTTAGTTATTGGTGAAACTAAACCAAAAGAAACGGTAGATAAAGACACAAAAGAACAACAAACAGTTATTCAAGAAGAACAAATCTCATCGGAAATTATAGCAGGTGAAGAAATGAAACCGGATGAGGTTTCAACTTTGGAATTCATAACAGACCATAATGAAATCAAGCAATCAAAAGTTGAAGAACAAATAGAAAAAAGTGGTCCAGTTGAAAAAATTATTGTTACCGAAGAATCATTCGTTTCAACTGATACTATCGAAACACAGTTTGTCGAACCAATAGAATTTTCAATTGAAATTGAAAATTTCGATAGTGAAAGACAGGCACTTGAAGACAAATCAGCTACTAAAATACAGGCGGTCTTCAGAGGAATGCATGCACGAGAGTACGTTAAAACATTGAAGCACGAACAGGAGCAGCATGATCATATCGAACCACTTAATCATCATTTTATGACTGAAATTACTATTAGCGACAACGTTTCAGAAAAACATGACACTTGTACAGTAATAATAAATGACAAAGATTTGAAGGAAAACGTTGTCAGTGAAATGGTATTTGAAACAGTTCAGGAAGACAAAACACACCAAATTGAAGTTCGAGATATGCCAATTTCATCAGAAAAAATAACAGCAAAAATAATTATACCAGATGAAGTTTCAACTATGAAAATTTTGACAGATCATATTCAAATCGAGCAACCAAAAGTTGACGAACCGATTGTAGAGAGTGGTCGGGTTGAGGAAATAATTGCAATAACAAAAACTGTTGCTCAAACTGATATTATCAAATCACAGATAGTCGAATCTGAAACTAGAGAAGAGACCTATCTTGCACCATCTGATATTTCCGAGCAACAAGAAGAACAAATTCCATCAGAAGTTATAACAACTGATGAAATTAAACCGGACGAAGTATCTACTATGGAATTCACGACAGAGCATGTTGAAATTGAGCAACCAAAAGTTGACGAACAAATAATTGAAAGTGGTCAGGTCGAGGAGATAACTTCTGAAGAAACAGTTCATCCAAGTGATGTCGTTGAACAACAGCCTATTCAACCAGAAGCTACAAAACAGCCTACTCTTGCACCGTCTGTTATTGCCGAGCAACAGGCTCCTATTTCGCATGAAGTTGTATCGGAAGAAACAATCTCACAACCAGATATCAAAGAAGAAGAAACTGTTGTCAGTGACGTAGCTTATCAAGAATCAGTTAGTCCGGACACAAATGAACAGCAACCTGTTCAACAAGAAGAACAAATTCCATCAGA